TGCTTGTATAATATATTCAACCAAAATGATGTTGACAAAAATTGAACTTGTGTGACATCGAACTTACGTTTTAACATCATGCATGAGTATTACTCAATTATAAAGTTTTGTGTTATAAAATTATTATACAAAATGCTTTGTTTATTAATTAGAAATGCTAATGACCATTTATAATAATCTATCAAGAACAATTGCACATGAATTCTCTTAATAATAATAATAATAATAATAATAATAATAATAATAATAATAATAATAATAATAATAATAATAATAATAATAATAATTATTATTATTATTATTATTATTATTATTATTATTATTAAGTTGTTGCATTTCTTCCATTTCATTTTTCTTAGGTAAAAGTCATTGTCTTTCAAGTTGAGTACAAGAAAGGTCATGTTATTTATTCTTTAAAAATATATTTTCCATGGAGAAATTGAAGTAAATTAATTTAATGTATCAATCAACCTTCCTATTAAGCTAACAACATGTATGGCAGTCATCAGTTTAACCAACCACATAATGACAATTAAGCTGGTTTAATTAGGTTTGTGATTAAGCTAGCTTGAGGATTATTGAAGAACTTGAAGATTTTCTCTACTAGCACAAGTTAGTTAAATTAGATGTTGCTCAACCACAGATTTTGCGAAGTGTAACAATGTTTAATTAAGAAATCTTGTCTCTCAAATCGTTTTATTATTTCACTTTTTAAAGTTACAAATCTCACACTTAACTTTGTAAAAATGTTGTGATTTTGGCCCATGACATACAAAACCTTATAATATTGTTAGGGCATCTCTTATTCCATCTCTTAGGTGTATTTTAAGATGAGAAAACTTAATGTAAGTAAAAAGTTGATGTGGAGGGAGAGAGAAAACAAAGTGTGGAGTCAATAAATGTTTGGTACATTATTATCACAAGAAAAAAGTTTTGAAATTAAAACTACAACATGAAGTGAGAAAGTCGTAAACAGCTGTCCACAATTTTCTTTTGATTCATCACACACACACACACACACATATGGGTGCGTTTAGGTGATAACTAGTGTCAAGAAATGAACTAAGAATCAATCGTAGTCATCCACGTGTCCAAATTTAACGAATTAGATGTAATTGTAAAAAAATGACGCGGTGATATTTTTTGTAAATAACTTGAACTTTGGTGCAAGTAACATTTGTTAAAAGTGAAAGTAATGGGTGCAAGTGTGCCACAAATGTGCAAGTAAAATCACTTAAAAGTGCAACCATTTTCACTATGGGGTGTTTGGTTGGGAGGAATGAATTATGAAGGAAAGGAATTATAATTCAGTAGGAAAATAATAAGGTAGGAATAATGTAGGAATTCAAATTACATTATTTGGTAGGGAGGAATAGAATTATTGGGGTGAGAGGAAAAAAGTGATATAAAGACTAAAATGCTCTTGTGTAATAATAGTAATAGTAATAGTAATAGTAATAGTAATAGTAACAGGGCGTTTGGTTGGAGGGGGGGAATTATGTGGGAAAAGAATTGTAATTCCATGCAGGGCCGGATTTTAGGCTGTGCAAGCTGGGCTACCGCACAGGGCCCCCAACTTTAGAGGGGCCCCAAAGTTTAGAGGTCCAATGCTTAATTTTTACCTAGCTAGTTTCTAAATAAAAATTAAAAGTTTTCAATTAAATTTAAAAGGTTCTATGAAGAGATGGTAAAAATGTGTATTTGTTGTATTTTAACTTTAAGGTCAAAGGTTCGAAACTTACATGTATTAATTTTAAAAATTGTGATTTTGGTAGGGCCACATTTATTTACTAGAACAGGGCCACCAAAATTTAAAATACGGCCCTGATTCCATGGGAGTTGAATTACTGGGAATAAAGTGAGAATTTAAATTCCAGTGTTTGGTTGATAGGAATAGAATTACTAGGAATTTCAATTCCAATGTTTGGTATACATGGGAATTGAAAGGGAATAAGTAGTATGAAGTCAAAAATGTTCATTATTGTTGTTAGACATTAATTTTAGGTTAAAAAAGGAAGGGGTAATTTTGACTCATCACTATCTTTTTTTTCCCAGGAATTAAAATACTAGGGGGGGACATGGGATTTTAATTCCATGAAAATGGGGGAATTGCAATTCCATGGAATTGCAATTCCCTCCAACCAAACTACGGAATTTAATGGCCTTTGGAATTAGGTGGGAATTAAGTGGGAAGGGAATTTAAAATCCCTCCAACCAAACGCCCTGTAATAGTAATAGTAATAGTAATAGTAATAGTAATAGTAATAGTAACTAAGGATACTTTTGTCATTTCTTCTATTTTTCCTTTTCCCACAAGCATTGAATTGTAATTCATTGGGGGTACCCCATGAATTGCAATTCAACAAAATGAGGGAATTACAATTCCCCCAACCAAACAATGTAATTGAGGCCTTCATTGAATTACAATTCAATTACATTCAACCAAACGCCTTGTAAATAGTGCAAGTAATTTACCCAAACGCCCTGTAAATAGTGCAAGTAATTTACCATTTACACATTGATGCACCTAATGATAACGTCTTTCACATTAGTACACTTAATGATAACATTTAGTACAACTAATAATCACGTTAAATGCTCAGTGTACATTATTTGTTGCACTTTTAATACCTTTTACTTGCACTTAGGAGCACTTTATAAAACAGTTACTTGCACTTTTAATACAATTTACTTGGACTTCAAAGTTCAATTATTTACGAAAATGCGTCACCGCATTTTGTTTAAACAACGTTTTTTCCGTTAAATTTGGACACGTGAACGACTATAATTGGTTCTTAGTTCTCTCATGGGCACTTGGTTCATATATTTATTTATTTATTTATTTATTTATTTATTTATTTTTATTTATTTATTTAATACCTCCGATATGATTGTCATCCAATGAACGTTGTTGATTTTTTCATTTTGACATATTCATATTAGACTTTGTTCATCTTAGAATTAGCACCCTTTTCGATGTCAATGTCTATGACATTTATTTTCTCTTCTTCTCTTGTTTATTTGTTTAGGTGAGGTGGTTTTCAATCTCTACTACTTTAGCAAGGATTGCAAACTAACAATTCTACCAAATTGTAAAGGTGGGGCCTTTTACTCTCACTTTTTTTTTTTTTTTTTAAAGAAAATTGATAAATATTTTTATTAGTTTAATTATTTTGTTATAATATTTATATATATGATGTGAAATTGAGATTTTTTAAGGTAGATTTGAATTGCAAGAACGTACATAAAATAGTGAGTTTGAATTACATTATGAACTATTTTTCAATAATACTTTTACAATATCTAAACTTTGTAGACTTAATTTTTTTTTTAAAAAAGTACACTTATTTTACTACATATGATAATTAATGTGTTGTGATTTCATTGATTAATAAAATTGGGTAGGTTATGCCTGATTTATTTATTATTATTTTTTAGTAAAGGGTGGGCCATGCTTTTTATTCGTGTATTTTTCTTCGTCCAATAAAATTTGACCATTTAGTTAGAATTTATACTCTGATCTATAGAATACATCTACCATTTTACAAATCCGACCTTAATTTGCATAATTGAATATGGTATTTAAACAAACACTGAAAATAATATGATTTGAAGGGTGAAGTCATAGACTTTGACTGCAATCTTGTCTTTGTTTCAAGATTTAAACAATAATATTTTTCTATACATTTAATAGAGTTTATAGTTATAGATGAATTATTAAAGTATCATCATCAATGAAAATTTTTTGGGGGATTTTTTAGATGCCATATAAAATATTGGGTATGGGAAAAAGAAAAAAAATGAAATGTAAAAAGAAATAAAATAAAATTAAAGTTTATTATACACCAAATGCACACCTACTGCTTTTTTATGCAATGGATCTCTAAAAAAAAAAAAAAAAAACTGTATTTATAGGAGGTTAATTTTTCTCTTATCTCTCACCTTCACTTAAAAAAAATGTAAAAACTAAAAAAAATAAAAAAATCACTGATGTAAATGTTCTTCGTAGAGAAAAAAAAAATCATCAAATAATAATTAAATTCATAATTTTTTATACAATTCACCGAAGTACTTGGGTTGAATGGTATAAGGCTTTCTGGGCATTCACTATTGGAAATTATAGAATTTCCGACTACCTGAAAGTGATCTTAAATCAAATTGTTACTTGTTCCGACCACTTTTGGTATCCGAAAAATCTTTGTTGCTATTTTCGACAATTTTTTACTTTCGACTTGATTTAAGATCACTTTTAGGTGGTCATAAATTCAATAATTTTCAGCAGTGATCCATCAAGTGGTGTTAGATGATCAGGAAAGGAATTCCTTTGTCTAGAGGATTTCCTATGAGGTGCCAATGAGATTGGCACTTTGGTTTCTCCATCCTTATGATCAATATATATATATATATATATATATATATATATATATATATATATATATATATATATATATATATATATATGTGTGTGTGTGTGTGTGTGTGTGTGTGTTTTTTTTTTTTTTTATCAAAAAAAGTATTCAAATAGTTCGAACATGATTTTTATATAAAAAATCACGGATTTGATTTTGGCCAACACTCTATTGGTTAAGTTTTTCATATAAAATTTTCATGGTACAGATTGTCTTTCATATGTGATTTGATAACTATTACATAATTTTTCATGTACAATTTATCAATCTTAGTGTAATTTACAGTCTGCCTCTACTATATGACTTGTAAACTATTATACAAAAGTAAAATTACCCACATATTCAAATTATTATTCAAGAACATATTAAGAATTTATTTTGCTCACAAAATAAATATGTGTAATTTAACAATTAATAAGTAAAATTTGTGTAATTAGATCACAAATTATTTTAAGATGGGTGAAATTGATGATGCCCATACAAAGGTCCTACCTTCCCAAGTATCAACCACATCAATAATGTTTCAATATCATATCTATCATCAAACTCGTTTCATTGACTATATATATCTTCCTTATCACTGCATGAACTCCTCCACGTGCCCTCTCCCCCATCCCTCCTATCCCTTCTCTCCTTGTATCCTAAGAAATTGAAATAGAAAAAAAAAAGAAAAAAAAAAAAAGAGAAAAACTTTAGCGAGGTACTATGAATCCATAATCCAACTCAGCAATCTGAGAGCGACTTTCTTGCGTTTCTCCCTCTCTAATCTCTGCTGCCAACTTGTAATCTTCCATCAATCTCATAGGAATTGGAGATTTCACAGAAACCCAAAATGGGTAAATGCCGTATGGTCTTTTAAATAAGACACAGATACAGACAGAGACACGGAGGATTGAAGAACGGGAACCACCGCCAAGATTGGTACTTTCTTGTTCTTGAATTCTTTCCAACTCTCTGGGTTTTCTGGAAGGTGGGCGGGTCGGGTTAATCGTAGGGCACTCGAGCTTTTTATTTTCCGGGTAATTTGAATCTGGTTCTTTGATTTGAATGGATGTTTGCTTAGAAAGCTCTTGGATTAGTCTTTATCCGTGGGGATATTAGCAAGGGTTTGTCGGAGGTTTCGAAGTCCAGTGCTTTTTTTTTTTTTTTTTTTTTTTTCGTGCTTTTCAACTGAAGAATGACGAAATGTTGGAAGCAATTTAGGAATTGAAGGGAAAAATTGTAGCTTGGCTCTATCTGTTTGTGTTGAAGGGAAAACATATATTTTGCCGTATTTGGCAAAAAAGGTATGGCTTCTGATCAGAACTCAATACCCATTAATTTGTTAGCGGCGGATATGGGTAAAACGGTTCAGGAAGAATCGCACATTTCTCCGGCGGCCATTTCTGGAAATGGCAATCCAGGGGGGTTCATCCCCACCATTCAGTACTCAGACGCGGAATTTGTAGGGATGGGATTTAACAATGGTGTGGCTATGATGGCCGGGAGGGTCCCACAGCAGGTCATGCTCCCAACACAGATGGGTGGTGGGATTGGATCGGATCATGGGAGTGGTAGATCACAGAGTGCATCTGGGCATGGTACTGATGAAGGTGGGGAGGATTCGGTATCGTCGGGCAAGAAAGTGAAACTTTTGTGTAGTTTTGGGGGGAAAATATTGCCCAGGCCAAGTGATGGGGCACTGAGATATGTTGGAGGGCAAACTAGGATCATCAGTGTTAGGAGGGATGTGAGTTTTCCTGAAATGGTTGGGAAAATGATGGATATATATGGGCAAGATGTGGTGATTAAGTACCAGTTACCTGATGAAGATCTTGATGCGCTTGTGTCTGTGTCTTGTCCCGACGATCTTGATAACATGATGGATGAGTATGAAAAGTTGGGTGAGAAATTGAGTGATGGTTCAGCAAAATTGAGGGTGTTTTTGTTTTCACCGTCGGAAGTTGAAGCTGCTGTTGCCTTGCAGTATGGCACTGTGCCGGATAATGGACAGATGTATGTTGAGGCAGTGAATGGAATCCTAGAGGGAGGTGGTGGTGTAACCAAGTATACGAGTACCGCTAGTGCTTCTTCCACCCAGAACTCAGAAGCCAGTGGTGGTGATGCTGTTGATTTCTCTGGCCTTGGTCAAGGGGTGATCTCGAGACCACCTTCGAGTGAGACATTATCCGGCCCCGCTGCTGCTCAAGGAGCAGCTGCTTCGAGGGTGGTGGATCCAAATCCTGCAGTTTATGTCAATACTTCTTCTGCTGCTCCTTTGGGCATTCATGTTGCTGTGTCGGGCCCTCCCTCGAATCTAGCTGCTCCTTCTGAGCTTGAATATGAAAAATCGGTGCCTATTCCTGTACAGCAGCAGCAGCAGCAAATGGGGTTTGATTTGCAGCAACCAGGAATGACTTTTCCGGTGCATTCAACATATGTACCGGATCATCACCGGGAAGGCTTTAGCCGTGCAGATTATGCACAATTCCCTTCCCAGATTGGTTTTCCTCCACAGCTTAGGGCGAATGTCGGGCCAGTGTATGCCCAACAGCCCTTAACTGCTGGTACTACACTTCAGCAATTTGTTCCTGCTGTTCACATGACAATGTCGCCCTCTCATGTCAGTATGAATCCTAATCATCGGCTTACTCATCATCTCGTTCAGCCACAACAAGTTAGATTTGAACAATATCCTCCAGAAAACACACTGGGGGGGCAGAGGATTGTACAGCTTCCCGGGGACCAAGGATACGGGACGTATCAGCCTCAGCTCCAAGTATTGGGGGGAGGAGCGTATGGTTGGCATCAGATTCCTCACCCTCAGCAGGTAGCGTTTTCTGAAGGGGCAATGGCTCATCCTACGCCAAGTGGACAGGAGGCGATCCCAAGATTTGAGGGTTGTTATATGCGTCAAAAATCATTGCCTAAGGCTCATTCAGATACAGTAGCACAAGACCAAAGGGACAGCCCCATGAGCACCACACCTGGCTATAAATCAGCTTATGAAGGTGGCCCTTGGGTGGATGATAAGGGTAGGCATATGTGCATGGGTGTCACAACTGGAGCTTCTGAACACCATGGAGCTGCTGTTGGACCAAGGGTCATTGGTCATATGGATCATGAAGTGACTGGGGTCTCGCAGAATGTTCAGAATCCAGAGTGTCCAAAAATATCTCTCCCTCAGGGTGCAATAGGATTAACGAGTGGCATGCAATCTCATTATGCGCAGTTTATACCCACTGTTTCTCAATCGTGTCAAGTCGATTCTCCCGAGCAGCATCTGATTCCAATGCAGTACCATGTTAAAGAAGATGTCGGTGTTAACAAAGCAATTCCACACGGGATGCCTTTCCAGATGCCAGAATACCTCGTTCAGGAATCACCAGTTGTACTTCCTAAAGAAGATAATAAAGAATCTAGAACTGCAGTTGACCACATGAAGCAAGTTGAGAGTATAATGGAAAATCTTCAAATACACACAGCTGAGACTCATCCCAACAGTAAGCAGATTAAGCCAGGAGGCGATAATTATATGAAGGACAACATCTTGGAAAACAGAACTCAACGGGTTGGTTGGAATCAGGCATTTACAGATTCAAGTACTGCTCTCGATGCAAATCACATCAAACTGAACGAAATGCCACCCAGTTCATCAGCTGAAACTGTGTTCTTGCAAACTTTTCGGGCCCCAGAACTCTGTGCAGTATCACAGCCTTCTCCTTTGGAGAAAAAACCCGATTTTGATGTGCATTTGAAGCAAGGAGTTGGCCAATTTGTCCCTGACGAGATGTCCTTTGATAACCCTGCTTTCTCCAGTGCTGAATCAGCAAATCCAACACCTAATGTTCCAGTCTCTGACCTTCAACCGAAGCTTATTCCCGCTGGTATTGAAGTTCTCTCCCCAGATGGAAGTTCAACATCTATATCTCCATCTTCTATGTATGGAGCTGCACAGGAAACCTCACCTTCACTATTTAGCAACCAGGATCCTTGGAATATGCAGCGTGATAGTCACTTCCCTCCTCCTAAACCTAGCAAACATCGAGTAAAAAAGGAAACTTTGGGTGTCAAGGATCAGTCTGACCCTGCACTATCCAACAAAAGTGGGTATTGACTTTTATATTTTGTATTCTGATTTCCTTATATTTGTTTGATGCTTACTTGTTGCTTGGTTTTTCGCTTTTTTTTTGAAGGCTCGGAAGAGGAAATGATCAAGCAAGAACTTCAGGCTGTTGCTGAGGAGGTAGCTACTTCTGTTCTTCAGTCACCTGTGCCTTCTAATCCCGACTTTCCCATATTTGGTGGGAGCAAGTATGGATCTTTAAGTGAGCATAACAGCGAAGTTCAAAGTTCTGATGGAGAAACCTTGGACAGAAATAAATTCGAGGTCTTGTTCTGTCTCTAGCTGTTGCGTAAATGTGTCTTTGCCAGTATTTTGTATGTTGTCACCCATGTTTATTTGTTTACTGTCACTTGCGTATTTCTGATCTTGGTTGGTTAACACATGATGGTGTTCAGAAAGCAAAACCTAAGTTGCCGGAGAGGAGAGATTTTGGCTTTCCTGTGTCGGGTGACGTTGGTCGGTTACAGGTTCGAGTTAGTTTATGCTGTATGATATAATGATATATGGCTTCATTTTGTATGTTATACAACTTAACCGATAACCAATCTGTGTCTTTCTGCTACCTCTTCTTTGCGGGTAGATTATAAGAAACAGTGATCTTGAAGAGTTTCGAGAGTTGGGTTCAGGTACTTTTGGCACAGTTTATCATGGAAAGTGGAGAGGAACTGATGTTGCAATCAAAAGGATTAATGAAAGATGTTTTGCTGGAAAACCATCAGAAGAAAAACGTATGGTTGGTGTCTTTAATGTGCAATCGATGATTCCCTATCTTATATGATTTCAATATTTTTTGTTAATGTTAAAATTGTTAATGACTTTTGCTGGGTTGAATACCTTTAAAAAGAGGGATGATTTCTGGAACGAGGCGATCAAACTTGCGGACTTGCACCATCCAAATGTTGTTGCATTCTATGGTGTGGTGCTTGATGGGCCTGGTGGTTCTGTAGCAACTGTCACAGAGTTTATGGTTAATGGTTCTTTGAGAAATGTTCTGCAGAAAAATGAGAGGTAACGATCTTCTAGCGGTGGTCTGATATTCATATTGGAATTCCTTAGCTCTTATTCAATCTACTATCATTCAATAGTACATCTTCAGTTTCTTGTGCTTGATCGCTTTATGCAACTGCCTTTTCGTGGTTTAAATAGCTTCCTAATCTATTTTCAAGACACACACTCTGTTGGAGATTTATGTCTCTTCAACATAAAATCAAAATGACTAATGGTTTCGGGGGCAACCCCAATCAAGTTGGTTGTGGGCTGTTGGCTTGGTAACCACAAGGTTCCAAATTTGACTCTCAGTGGGAGTGGCTTATTGGCCTTCTTGGTTTAAAGCTTTAAGCTGGTCAGCTATGGGCAACCTAGGCTGGTTAACCTCATTATGGTCCTTTGCCAACTAGGGTCACAATGTAGGCACACCCTTAAGTAGTGGCTGTGAGTTTCCTTCCACATTGTTTTGGAGATTTATGTCTCTTTGACATAAAATCAAAATGACTAATGGTTTTGGAGGCAACCCCAATCAAGTTGGTTGGGCTGTTGGCTTGGTAACCACAAGGTTCCAAATTCGACTCTCAGTGGGAGTGGCTTATTAGCCTTCTTGGTTTAAGTCGATCAGCTATGGGCAACCTAGGCTGGTTTACCTCATTATGGTCCTTTGCCAATTAAGGTCACAATGTGGGCACTCTCTCAAGTAGTGGCTGTGGGTTTCCTTCCACACTCTGTTGGAGAGTTATGTCTCTTTGACATAAAATCAAAATGACTAATGGTTTCGGGGGCAACCCCAATCAAGTTGGTTGGGCTTTTGGCTTGGTAACCACAAGGTTCCAAATTTGACTCTCAGTGGGAGTGGCTTATTGGCCTTCTTGGTTTAAGGCTTTAAGCTGGTCAGCTATGGGCAACCTAGGCTGGTTAACCTCATTATGGTCCTTTGTCAACTAGGGTCACAATGTAGGCACACCCTCAAGTAGTGGCTGTGAGTTTCCTTCCACACTGTTTTGGAGATTTATGTCTCTTTGACATAAAATCAAAATGACTAATGGTTTCGGAGGCAACCCCAATCAAGTTGGTTGGGCTGTTGGCTTGGTAACCACAAGGTTCCAAATTCGACTCTCAGTGGGAGTGGCTTATTAGCCTTCTTGGTTTAAGTTGGTCAGCTATGGCAACCTAGGCTAGTTTACCTCATTATGGTCCTTTGCCAATTAAGGTCACAATGTGGGCACACCCTCAAGTAGTGGCTGTGGGTTTCCTTCTACACTCTGTTGGAGAGTTATGTCTCTTTGACATAAAATCAAAATGACTAATGGTTTCGGGGGCAACCCCAATCAAGTTGGTTGGGTTGTTAGCTTGGTAATCACAAGGTTCCAATTTCGACTCTCAGTGGGAGTGGCTTACTGACCTTCTTGATTTAAGCCGGTCAGCTATGGACAACCTAGGCTGGTTTACCTCATTATGGTCCTTTGCCAACTAGGGTCATAATGTGGAGTTTACTCAGTGCAAACCCTCAAGTAGTGGTTGTGGGTTTCCCTCGTCACTCCCAAAAAAATGACGAATGGTTTATATTCTAAAACCAATTGGTTTAGGCCTTTACTGAGTCAGGACACCTGAAGTAAAGACATGTTCTGCGTATTAACTTTAAGAATTTGACATCATATGTTCTTTGTCTTTCTTAAAAACTGCGATGGAAATTGAGCAATATGTCAACATGTTGGCAGGAGCCTTGATAAGTGGAAGCGTCTTTTGATAACAATGGATGTAGCATTTGGAATGGAGTACTTGCATGGGAGGAATATAGTACACTTTGACCTGAAAAGTGATAATCTATTGGTTAATCTCCGTGATCCACACCGTCCAATTTGCAAGGTTAGTGACTTCTCTAATCCCTTTTAATTCGTACCAGAACAAGTACTGTGTGGTGTTTTGCCTCCATCTTCCACCAAAACTTCATAAATCATAATTACAAATTCATAAATGGAAGAAACTATATTCATATTAATGCAAAAGGAAGACCGAGTTTATGCATCTACCATTCACCATCCTTTCTCAATAATGGCATGCATGTTATATACTTGTGTAATATAAAAATTTCGGAGCTACTCTTTTCTTGCCCTGATATGGGAAGCAATCTTATATTATAAGCTGTCTATAATAGAATTTCTTGAATTCTTTTTCCTTCAATGAACTCTCTGTTATTACATTGGTATATATTAGGCTATATTAACAATGTAATTTCTATCTTAATATTTCAAGTCTTCATGTATATATAAGGGTTTGTTTCTTTTTTTTTTTCTTTTTTTTTTTTTTACTGTTCGAGAGTGGAATTTTAACACTCAAAGTATGAGTATGCAATTCAAAATATGATCTTGAATCCCAAGCCTTATGTGAAATATCTCCAGCATTGCACTTGCCATTTACGCATTCTACTTCAGCTCTTGTTTGGTAGAACTTATAGTTTATTTTAAGTTACAATTTACAAATAAGCTATATAAGCTCCATTTGGTAAAACATGAGGAGCTTAAAATAATAGTTTATTTTGAAATGCTACCCGGCTTTTTAACTTTTTTTCCCTTTTCATCTTTATTAATTTACAAAAATGACATCATCTACCCTTCATTAATCAAAATCCTAATATCTTAGTTTATCCTTTTATGTGTTTTTACACTTATCAACTAATTCAACAATTAATTTTACCAAACACTTTAATTTCAATTAATTAGCTTATTAGTTACTAGCTTTTCAGCTTTCAACTAGACGTGCCAAACATAGCCTTCTTCTTCTACCCCCACGCTTACTTTTTTTTTTTTTTTTGAAAATGAATGCTAAGGTCCACGCTTACATTTTGTCATTATGCTAAGGTTGGTGATTTGGGACTCTCCAAGGTGAAATGTCAGACGCTAATCTCAGGTGGCGTGCGAGGAACTCTTCCTTGGATGGCACCGGAGCTCCTTAATGGCGGTAGTAACCTTGTCTCCGAGAAGGTAATTCGTCATCTCTACCTCAAGTCATAGCTTTCCAAAATTACAGGGTCAGTGCTATTTGCTCGTCTGAACGTTAATAAACAAACATACCGTTGTGCTCTTAGGTTGACGTGTTCTCCTTTGGAATAGTAATGTGGGAACTTTTAACTGGAGAAGAACCATACACAGACTTGCATTATGGTGCCATAATTGGTAATGTTCATACGCTATCGTTTTGGGTCAGTTAACTTCGGCTTACAGGTCACGCTACTTGAAATACTGACACTGGACACAATGGCAGGTGGTATTGTTAGCAACACATTGAGGCCACCCGTTCCAGAATCATGCGACCCTGATTGGCGATCGCTTATGGAAAGATGCTGGTCAGCGGAGCCATCAGAGAGGCCGAACTTCACTGAGATTGCAAATGAATTGCGGGCTATAGCGTCTAAGCTTCGCTCGAAAGGACCAAACCAGCAACCTCTCCCCACTGCACATTCCCAAGCTAAGAGTTAAAACATTATACTCAGCTATTGTTTGGTCTTTTTGTTTGAAAGCTGAATAGAACATTTATTGAATCTAAAATATGTAATTGGATCCTAATTTTTTGTTTTTTTAGTGTAATGAAAATTAGGATGTTCTTTAATCAACTTCCCAATATGTTGTGTATGTCTTTTTTCCTCTCTTCTACCTTCAGTGTTTCTCAGTTTGTGAATCAGCTCTCATTCACAGCAAAAATCAGATTTTTGATAAGGGTAATTAAAAATTATGGCCTAATTGGTAACATAATTAGCTTATCAGCTAATTTTAGTTTATTTGATCACTATTAGTTTTTTTGACTTGGTTAAATAATATGAGTATTTAATTAATTAGTTTTTTTTAACAGCTTATTGTTTCAAAACGTTAAAATTTAAAAAGCTGTTCAATGTAGTTTTTTCGATCAGTTCTTTGAGAAAGTCATTTCATATGTAATCAATTATCAACTAACAGTTAATTTACCAAATATTTTTTACAATTATCAATTAGTCAAACACACTAACTCAATCAGCTAACAGTTATTTACACTGTAAAATGAAATTGGATATAAGTTCAAGAGAGAAAAGTTTAATCAAATAAGGGTTTTTTTGGGTGATGAGGAACCTATAGCCAAATAATGGTTTTTTTGGGTGATGAGGAACTTATAGCCACTGTCTAAAAATGTGCATTAGGTAAATCTCATCTTATGAGCCTAGTTGGTAAAAGATCAGAACGAGATAAATCAACTTAGCTTTTTCATAACGAATTGGCTCAAACCAAGAATGTCAATAAATTGCTCTTAAAAGTCGAACTCGAACTTGTAACTATGTGGTTACTAAGTCAATAGTCTGACCAACTTGGTTAGGATTGCCCTGAATAATGGAAAATTGATAACCTTGTGTATGGTGTGGCCATTAATGGAGACAAGTATCACTGCTATTCAGTCACTGATCCATCTTGAATGTCTCCAGCAACAGATAACTCTTGTAAACAACAGAATCCAATCACCAATAATCCATACAAGAACAAGCACCATCCTTGAAGTGATGGAAACGGTTTGTGTCTCTTACAAAAATTTCTCTGCCTTCAAAGCTTGAAGTGAATTTCATGAAGGAATGGCAGTCACCACAGATTCTAAGATTCTTTATGACTCTGAGAGGAGACCCTCTGCTGGTGTTCAAGATTCCAAGAACTACTGCCAATTTCTCACTGTGCCCACACAAAATGTGTTCCTTCTCTTCTTGTTCTTCCACATCTTGAAGCACAAAATCAGTGTTGGGCAAAACACCAGACTTCTTCATTTCCAAGCTCAGATTGGCTAACTTTATCATGATTTGGGTCATCTGGGGATGTGATTTGTCTCCTGCTAAAAGCATATGCACTTGGTTCTTAAGTTCAATCCAACTGCACCCAGGATTCTTCCTTAAACCCATATGTTTCATCGTATCCCGGATTCTATCCACTTCGTTCCATCTCCGATTAGAAGCGTAAATATTGGACAAGAGAATGTAGTTCCCAGGATTTGTTGGTTCGAGTTGGAACAGTTTATTAGCAGCCACCTCACCCAAACTCATATTGTGATGGATTTTACAAGAACTCAATAATGCTCCCCAGACACAAGCATCTGGTTCGAATGGCATTTTCTTGACAAGGGAGTAAGCTTCTTCGAGCTTTCCTGCTCGACCAAGAAGGCTCACCATACAAGCGTAATGCTCTAGTCTGGCTTTGATTTTGTGATCCTTAGACATAATGTCAAAGTAATGTTGCCCTTCGTCGCTAAGGCCAACTTGGCTACACGCGGATAAAATGCTAGTGAAACTAATCGCATCAGGTTTCTGTCCACTGCTTTGCATCAGATGGAGGATCTCGATGGCTTCTGTAGCCTTCCCGTGCATTGCATATCCACCGATTAGGGCATTCCAAGAAACCAGATTGCGGGTAGGCATCCTGTCGAAAGTAAGGCGAGATAGATCAACCCTTCCACAATTAGCATACATATCAACTAACGCACTCGCTACATAGACATCGTCTGCAAATCCCCGTTTAAGGGAGAAGCAATGCGCTGCTTTGCCATGCATCAATGCTGCTATGTTGCCACAAGCCGGGAGCAAGCAGGGGATAGTTACACAGTTTGGTTCCATTCCAACTCTCTGCATTTCTCTGAAAAGCTCTAAAGCCTCGACATCTTTACCGTGTTGTGAGCAAGAAGCAATCATGGAAGTCCACGAAACGACATTTAATTCCATTCCCTCATCCCTACACTGCTTAAAAACGTTGAAAGCATCATCCACGAGGCCATTCCGGGAAAGCCCTGTAACCATGGCGTTGCAAGTGCCCACGTCCTTTTGATCTATTTCCTCGAACACCTTTGACATCTCGAGTGCACGACTACACTTCCCGTACATGTCTATAAGAGAACTGATTATACATATATCTGATTTGAAACCCATCTTGATCACACAACCATGTACTTGAATGCCCATGCTAAGATCACCCAAGTCACCAATAGCTGGAAGAACACTAGAAATGCTAGTTCCATCGGCCATGAAACCTCTAGAATGCATCTCCTGAAACACTGAAACTGCTTCCAAGAAACGCCCGCTCTGATTAAACCCCGCAATCACACCATTCCATGAAACTGAATTCCGCTCAATCCCCAATCGCTCCGCCTCGCTAAACACTTTACCAGCGTTAACCACGTCCCCGTTTTTGGCATAACCTGCTGCCAAAGCACTCCAAGAAACCACATCCGGGCTGGGCATTGTGTCGAATACTTTATGCGCATCTTTCAAGTTGTTGCACTTCACATACATATGAACAAGAGAGGACTGGACGAAAGAATCCAATGCAAGCCCAGAAGCTAAAACATAGCCATGGACTTGTTTCCCAGCATTCCGCGCAGATAGCCCCGCACAGGCCCTGATGACACTGGGAAGAATATGGGCATCAGGAACAAGGCGTTGAGCCAACAACCTGGAAAATACCTTCAGCGTTTGATCGAAAAGACTGGATTTTGAAGAAGCGTAGATGAGGGGAGTGAAAGAGAAGATGTCAGGTTCAGAAAGGGAGTGAAGGAGGAGATTTGCGTCGTGAAAGCTGTGGTGGTGGGCGTAGAGTGAGAGGAGCTTGTTGGCAACATGGGTGTCGCCGGAAAAACCAGTCTTGACGATGCGGGCATGGGATTGTTGTGCTCCGATGAGGGTGGCTCCGGGTGTGATGAGGCTGAGAATGTTGTCCTGAGATCTCCCAACCAAATTCAGAGCTTGAATTTGAGCATTCCTTGCCCTCATGGCTCATGCTCCACATATAAACATACGCTTGCTGCTTTTCAAATTTCACACCGTGCTTACTAATACGATGATATTCGTAGTTACTTTGGTCTCTAAGTTGTAAAAGTATATTTTTGTTTTTATTAATAGTGAGGATTATTAGTGAAATGACAGCTTTAATTAGGGAAGGCAATGTGTCCCCTTTTTATTGGGACGGAGAAAAATTTCGAAGATTGAGGACGGGAATGGGGACGAGGACGGAGAGTTTTTGAAATTCTCCGGCGAGAACGGGGACAGAGATACCCCTCCCCACTCCGTCCCTGATTAATTATTATAATTAAAAAGAATATATATATATATATATATATATATATATATATATATATATATATATATATATATATATATATATATATATATATATATATGTTAATTTTTTAAAATTACAAGTTTAGTTTTTAAAATTAAAAATTATACTCCGTAATAATTTTGACTAAGAATTGATCGGGGACGGAGAATTTTCGTTCCCGCCTAATTCTCTGCGGGGGCGGAGATGTGGACTACTTTCAATTTCCCGTTGAGGATGGGGACGGGAACGGGGACGGGATCGAAGTTTCGGGGACGGGGACGGGATCGAAGTTTCGGGGACGGGGACGGGGATGGGGAGTATACTCCCTGCCCCCGCCCCCGCCACCGCCACACTCCCCGTTGCCATCCCTAGTTTTAATTCACCTATTTAACTTTTATTAATTTTTTATTATTATTTTAGTGTTACAAATAAAAAAAAAAATGCTAGTAACCCCTCTATTTAAGACATGTTAAAATTTAAAAGTTTTAAAAGTATTTTCATAATTTTCAACTTAAGATCACAATTTAAACATGAATAAATGATTTAAATCTTAAGATCAATGCCAATTTACAATTCCCCTCTTCATCCTATCTTAATTTGAGGAAGAGAAATACAAATTGGAATCAATCTTAGAACTGAAATCCTACTTAAGTTCAAATTAGAATCTTAATTTGAAAAAGACAAAAATATCCTTAACAATTTTTTATTTCGACATGTCTTACGCAAAGGGTTCGGTATAATGAATTTTGATACTACAACAATAATCGTGAATGAAAATTAGTACTAAAACAATTATTATCCATAAAAATTATGGAGTAATAAAAATTAGAGAGAATTTAAATTTTGGTGATATGACTATAGGGACTTTGTTAATTTCAACACCTTATTTTTAAAAGTGTCAATTTTGTATCTTGACTATGCAATTTTTATCAATTTTGGTCACTCCGGTCAAATTATCGGCCAAATTTCGCCAGAAAATTTTTACCGTTAAAATAATAAGGGTATTTTAGTCATTTCACATCTCTTCCTTCTTCTCCAGCGAATTCTTTTTTTTCCGGCGAATTTTGGTCACTCCAGTCGCACGCGATCCGATCACGCAGAATATTAGCTTGGCGTTGGTCAAATTGAATTACTGTTGGCCCATCTCCATCTCCGCCTACGAGGATACTACCAAGACCTCGTCATCGGTTCAGCAGGCCCTCAATAACACCGATATCGCCCTCAACCATGTCCCCGCAAGTATGCATCTCTGTGTTTGTAGTGGTTCTAGAAGGGTTTGAAGCGGAGAAACAGCGTCGTAAAGAGCGCACTTGAGCAATGGTGTACGAGTCGGTACCGATGGTCCAAGGCAAGGTTGCTGCAAAGCAACTGATGCTGTTTGGTGTGAACATTGTCGGCGTTAAGCCTTGGGGTGTTGACACGGGTTGGGGCGACCGGATCGCGATGATGGTGTTCGCCGTCGGAAAAAAAGAATTCGCCGAAGGAGAAGAAAGAAATGTGAAATGACTAAAATATCCTTATTATTTTAACTGTTAAAATTTTTTGACAAAA